ATGGTGCTCAGGGCAGAGGGCAGCGGTGAGCCGGGGGGGCCGGGGAGGGCGGCGGTGGCTCCCAGCCCTGCTCCCCTCGGGGCTCGGGGGCCGCGGGGCTGTGCTTGGGGCGAGGCGCGGAGGGGATGGGCCGCGCTCGCAGGCCCCGCTGAGCCCAGAGCCCGAGACAGATGGACAAATGCTGCCCCAGGATGGGTTCCTGCTGTGGGAACCCCCGGCTTCCTGTGCTGGTGGGGACGCCTAACCGTGCTGGGATCCTGCACTGTGGTGGGTCCCTGTGCGAATTCTGTGCCGGGCTGCAGCCACGGGAAGCGTCGGTCCCAGGCTCCATCCCTCTGCCTGCGGCCAGGCTCACTGGGGCTCTCCAGGGCAGTTGCTGTGCAGAGCCAGGGAAGGGTTAATGCCGCCTGCCTTCCCCAGAAAAGCTCCTGCGTCTGGGGTTTCTCTTCCTCTGGCTGCTGCTGACATGGCTGGGCTGCTTGTCACGAGTGCTCAGCCTCCACCGGGGAGGGACCTTCCGGGGCTCTGGAGCAGCCCTGCGGTCCCTGCTGCCCTGCAGCCTCATCCTGCACCACGCCTGTCCCGGGGCACCGGGACCCCGGCTGGAGCCCCTGCCCTCTCCCAGGTGGGCAGGAAGAGGCAGAGCTGAGGGCTTGGCTGCAGCCAGCTCCAGCCCTGGCATGAATTTGGCTTTCCCTGCGGCCGGGCCGGGGGATGTGGCGGCTGGACAAGAGGGTCCTGCAGCTAGGCGGGAGGGTCCTGGGGCACACGCAGCAGCCCAGGGATTTGGGGGTTTCTGTGTCTGATGAGCGGGTGTGATGCAGCTCTTCCCTCCCCCTGCGAGCCTGGGCTTGCAGGGTGTCCTGGGGGCCTGGAAATGGGGGGCTGGTGTCGGTGGGGATGGCGTTGGGGCATGTGGAAGGTGCTGGGATGCATCGACACAGCTCTGGTGCTGTAAGTGACTTTTAACCTGGTGCCACGAGCCGACTTGTCTGACTCAGGCTTCCTGACATGGAGACTGAAAGTATTGGGAAGTGTCAGCGTTGTGTCTGAGGGACGATGTCGCAAGCCGAGGCGCCTCAGCCTTGGCAACAAGGGCTTGTGAAGGAGGAAGCTCATCAGACCCCAGAGCAGAGCCGGGGAGGTGCTGGGCTCAGAGATTCAGGGTGCAGGGTCACCGTCACCCAGGGAGCTCCTACTAAGGCAGCAGCAGTGCGGGGAGAATCAATGCACAGTTGAGGACAGGGCTGGCCTGAAGGCACGTGGTGTCTTTGGGCACTGGCATGGGGCAGTGGCTGCGCTGGGGACACTGGTGAGTCTGGGCTGGTGGCAGCGGTGGCTGTGCACATGGTGGCACACGGGACCTTAGCGGGTAATGCTTGGGGCAGGGGAGGATGGTGACAGCCCTACAGATGCCTGTTCCCAGCACCCCAGGGTGGGAGGTGGGGGTGACACAAGAGCTGAGCTGGCAGATCCTGCTGCCACCTCCCTTGGGGACGGCATTCTAGAGGTGTTTGGGTGTCCTTGCCGGTGACCTTGGTGCAACACACAGAACCCGCTGGCAGAGGTGGGAGACATGGGCGTAGTAGGAGGGCTGAGTGCACTCTTGAAGGAGCAGGTGACCTTGGAGACTGAAGAGAACAGGAATGGGATACCTTGATACTGTGAATCAAGGAGGTCATGTGCCAAGGAGCACTAGGAATGCTCCTGGAGCAAGGGGACCATGTGGCAGCCCTGGGCTTGGGCCTCAGAGATGGTGTTGGAGAGGGGGTATCTGGCTCCCCAGGGTGACAGGAAGGTGTAGATGTCATGGTGTGCAGGTGAGGTCTGTCTGGAGGGTGCACCAGCTCCAGGCTCTGCCCCAAAATAATGAATCCACTGTAAAGGGAACTGCAAGGGTGGCCAGGAGCTGCTTTATGTTTGGGGCTGACCTGGTACAGCAGAACAACCTGCAGGGCTGCAGGCAGGAGCCTGTGCTGCAGGGCACAGCAGAGCTTCCCAGCCTTGGGGAGCAGAATGGGCACCCACACCAGCCCGGCTGGGGCAGAGCAGAGTGAAATGGGACTTGGAGGGGGCAGCAGGGCTGGGGCTGGCAGAAGCAGTGCTGGAGGTGATCCTGGGGCCTGTGTTGGTTCTCACTCTGCAGCTGCTACAGTCTGAAGGAGCAGATATTGTGGTCCTCAAATTCCTTTCATGCCATTGGTGCCACTTGGCCTCTGTGTGGAGCTGGGGACACTGCTTGCCAGCCCAACTCCTCCTGCTGCCCAACACCTCCATGTCCTGCCTCCACCCAAGCCCACAGCTGCTGGCAGAGGCTGTGCCAGGAGCCTGGCAGGCCTGGTTCCCAAGACCACACATGCTGACCTGATCACATCTTTGCTCAGTGCCCAGTGACCTGACCCCAGAGGAGTGCCAGGAGCTGGAGAACATCCGCCGCCGAAAGCAGGAGCTGCTGGCTGACATACAGGTGTGATGCCAAGGGGCCCACACAATCCCCCCTGTCCATGAGACAGCAGTCTGGGTGGCAGGGGACAGTGTCCCTGCCTGGATCACTGGCAGGGTCCCTATTCAGGATCCCTCATGCTGCTGCCCCACAGCTCTTCCTCTGAGGAGCTCTGGGGATGGGGAGGGGGTCCCAGTTGGGATGTGATCCCAAGTGGCAGCCAGCCATCCCTGCCCTGCCCAAGCAGCCATGCCTTTTCCTGTACCCTGCAGAGCTCCAGGCTGTGCAGCCTGTGCCAGCCCCTGCCTGGCACGGGCAGGGACCATGTCTCTGGGCCAGGCCACTGCCCTGGCAAGTGCCTGTGAGGTCAGGGCTCATCTGGGACACTGTCAGTCGTGTCTGTGATTAAGGCAGCAGAGGCTAATTACTGCCATATGCTGGGCATGATCTGAAGGGATTAGGGGTAATTTTGTTAACCTCCGAATCTCTTCCTTCCTGCATGCTGGGAGCGTGGCAATGCTGCAGGGATTAGCAGCAGGGGGCAGCCAGCCCCACTGCCAGTGCCCTCCGAGCTGGTTCAGCCCCTGGGCAGCACCTGGGGCTGGGGGGAAGGAGGGAGGGAAGGAAGGAGGGGCTGTGGGGCCTCTTGGGGGAAGGGGGCCATCTCCAGGTCTGGGGGCTGGAGGGTTTGTGGGGGAGGCACCTCCTTGTCTCAGTGCCCCCTCTCCCCACAGCGCCTGAAGGATGAGATAGCAGAAGTGACGAATGAGATCGAGAACCTGGGCTCCACGGAGGAGAGGTGAGTCCCCAGCACCTTGGAGCCCCCTTGGGCTCGCCTGCACTGTGCAGGAGCCAAGGGCAGCTGAGCCCTGGCCCACAAGTGCTGGTGTGAGCAGCTTTCCCAGGCGCTCTGAGCTCCTGGGAGCGGGATCCCAGGCTGATCTGCTGCTCCTGGGTCTATTTTTCCAAGCCCCAGCCCCTCTGTCTGGCCACAGCCACTGGCAGGCTATGTTATTCTGAGCTGGTGCAGTCAGTGCCAGCTGGGATTAGGGGGGCCCCAGCAGCTGGTGGGAGCTGACTCCCACCATCATTCCCAGTTAGCCTCTGGGGCACGAAGGCTGTCCCCTTCTGCCAGCCCCACTGCTCTCAGCAGAGCCCTGCCACAGCCAGCTTGCCCAAGCCTCCCCATGGCTGGGTGACCTGACAGGTGCAGTGCCTGCACCCCCTCTGCTCAGGGTGACCCCAGGCTCTGCTTTGTTCCGGAGCCTGGTGGGCCAGGAGCAGCCCCAGGCCACGGTGTGGGGCAGACACAGAGCAGTGTGTTGGCTTTGCCCTGTGTGGGTCCAGCATGGGGGCCTGGGTCCCTCGGTCCAGGCTGACCCTCCCCACAGGGCACCGCCCCAGGGGCTGGACAGAGGCAGTGGGGCCCTGCCAGGTGCTCAGAGCTGCTTCATGCCTTGCAGGAAAAACATGCAGAGGAACAAACAGGTGGCCATGGGCAGGAAGAAGTTCAACATGGATCCCAAGAAGGTACTGTGGGATGTACAGAGCTGGTTACCTGCCTCTGGGGGTGTGCAGGGCTCTACCACCTCCCAGTCCGGGTTCCTGGGGCTGGGGCAGGGCCAGCATCCAGGGCAGGGGTTGGCAGTCAGGGGCAGCCACAGACCCCCAAACACCTCTCTTGCATCCCTCAGGGCATCCAGTTCCTGATTGAGAATGACCTGCTGAAGAACACGTGCGAGGACATCGCTCAGTTTCTGTACAAGGGAGAGGGGCTCAACAAGACAGCCATCGGCGACTACCTGGGCGAGAGGTGCACTGGGCCTGGGCTTCCTGGGGGTGTTGTGGGCTCCTGGCACCTGAGAGAGGGGACACTGCAGCTCTGAGCTCACAGGACAGCTCACTGGGAGTACCCAGGGTGCCGGGGGTATTCAGTTCATGACTGGCACTTGCAAGTGGCTGATTTGTGCAGACCAGAGCAGGGATCAAGCAGGGCATAGCTACAGCTTTCCCCCATGAATGAGTAGAGTCTGGAGAAGGGCAGGGACAGTGGAGCTGCTCAGTAGTCACAGGATTGCTGATCACGCATCCCTCGTGCTCTGGCTTTGTTCCCACAGGGATGAGTTCAACATCCAAGTCCTGCATGCCTTTGTGGAGCTGCATGAATTCACTGACCTCAACCTCGTGCAGGCGCTGCGGTGAGCAAGGGGAGCCGAGCGTGGCCCACTGAGGGTGGTGGGGACCATGGAGCCCCCAAACCAGCGCCACAACTCACTCTCCACAGGCAGTTCCTGTGGAGCTTCCGGCTGCCAGGGGAGGCACAGAAGATTGACCGGATGATGGAGGCCTTTGCCCAGCGCTACTGCCAGTGCAACCCTGGTGTCTTCCAGTCCACAGGTGAGCGTCTGTCCCAGACGGTCTCCCTGGCATCCTGCCCCGCAGCTGACCTTCCCCTCTGCCCCTGCAGACACCTGCTACGTGCTGTCCTTTGCCATCATCATGCTGAACACGAGCCTGCACAATCCCAACGTGAAGGACAAGCCCACGGCAGAGCGATTCATCGCCATGAACCGTGGCATCAATGATGGGGGGGACCTGCCTGAGGAGCTGCTCCAGGTGAGGGCTGGGGCCAGGCTGCAAAGCTGGCCCAGAGCAGAGCCCACCACAAGGCTCCAGGGCAAAGCAGAGCTGATTCCATGTCGTTGTACCAGAATCTGTATGAGAGCATCAAAAACGAGCCCTTCAAAATCCCTGAGGATGACGGCAATGACCTCACCCACACCTTCTTCAACCCCGACCGGGAGGGCTGGCTCCTGAAGCTCGGTGAGTGCCAGCAGCAAGGGAGGGCAGGCTGTCACCAGGGTGCAGTACCCCTGGGCTTCCCATACTTCTCCTGCTGGCCTGGTTCTTCAGAGCATGAGGAGGCTGCAGAGACAGGCAAAGCCTTTGCAGGAAAGGCATCTGTACATCCAGCCCTCCATCTTCCCTTGGCTGGGCAGCAGGCTCAGAGCTGACAAGGCCCTGAAGAGCGGCTGGGGGGGGTGTCCTGGGGGATTCTGCTTCTAGGTTGGGCAAGCCCCTGGGGTGCAGAGCTGGTACCAAGGTCTGGTGTCAGAGCACAGAGACCTCGAGGCCCTTCAGGTCACCGAGCCACAGCAGGATGTGTCGGAGCAGGCCCCGGGAGCAAGCGGCGAGCTGCCCCAGGCTGCGTGTGTCCCCCTTCATACACAGAGCAGCCCCTGCCTCACCTCCCCACAGCATTATCACCTCCGCATCCCAGCTCCACATGCAGGCAGCATGCATGGCATCCCTGCTGCACCGCCCGGCTCCACAGCCGGAGCCCTCTGCGCCCTGGCTCCTGTGGCTTCTCTTCTTGGCACCTCTGGGGAATCCTCTGCCCAGATTTAGCCAGGGGGAATGGGTGTGGGCAGGATCAGAGTCCAGTGGGGCGATTCCCCAGGGTTCTGGCTGGGGTCAGAACTCCTGATACATGGCCAACCCCTTGGGAGAGGAGAGCAAGAGCTGCCTGCGCCCTGCCCTGGGGTGGGGGACACAGGACAGCCCCAGGCTCTCCATCCCTGATTGGAGGGGCCCTGCGCACGCAGGTTCAGGTTGGCCAGTGGGGTGGTGGAGAGGCAGCAAAGTGGCCATGGAGCCCAGCTGTCTGGGGGGGCAGGGAAGGACCCTGCCGGTCTGCCATGGGGTGGAGGGAGCCAGGCCCTGTCCCCAGCAGCCAAGGAGCCCATCCCACAGAGCCACAGCGAGCCAGGGCAGTCAAGCCCCCACGGCCCTGGCGCTGGCCCAACCCCTCACAGCTTCCCTGCTGCAGCCCAGCCCCACTGACCTGCAGGGCAAGGGGGGGCTTTGGGGTTCCTCTTTTTATTTTTTTTTTCCCTTTTTTTTTTTTTAATTTTCTTTTCTCCCTCATTTATATGTTTCCATGATTTTGGCTCTTCCTTTCCTTGCCCCCAACTCCAGGAGGTACGTACCCCTCTTCCCTGCTCTGCTCACACTGCTGGGGCTTCGTTTCCTTTGCATTTTTAATTGCTGGTGATGAATCTCATTGCTGCTGCTGTTGCTGCTAACCCCACACGCCCGGGGACCTCGCCTGCTGCAGGACAGCCCCTCTCCACCTCCAGGCAGGGACGTGGGGTGCTGGCCCTGCCAATGCCACACGTTCCCCAAGGCCTGTGGCCTCCTCTGCCACCCCGGGGAGGATGGGGCCACAGTGGCACTTGCCACCCGCCCAGCCGTGCACCACCATGTCCACAGACAGCCTGGCCAGAGGGGCTTTGCCTCTGGTGACACAAGGGATGGGGGCAGGTTTGGGGTCTCCTCGGGAGGGGCCCCAGCCTGTGCAGGAGTGGTCAGGGCATGGCTGGAGCTGGGTGGGAGCAGGAAGGATCTGTCTCCGCTGTGCCCTGTGCTGTGCTAAGGGCTCACAGCAGTCCCCATGAGGCACCCGCGCAGCTCCAATGCCTGCACCCCAGGGTGTTGGGGAGCATTGGTGCTGGCCCTCAACTGCTCCGGGGCAGGGACAGGGGTGGGCTGCCAGCTGGCACAGGGCAGCAGGGGCCACAGGGCCTTCCTGGCAGGGGAAGGAGATGAGCAGGACTTGCAGTGTACACTGCGGCTCCTCGTGTCCATGCCGGATCCAGCCTGCGAGGGTGGGTGCTCATCCCGCGTTCAGCACTGCTGCAGTGGCTGCGGTGGAGGGGAGCTGGGCCTGGGGGGCGCAGGGCCTGTGCCCAGGGACCAGCTTCTCCTGCTGTGCTGGCAGCTGTGGAGCTCGGCCATGGCCTTGGCTCCTGCCGTGCCGGGGGGCCAGTGCGACTGGGGCCATGGTCAGTGTGGACAGAAAGTCCCTGTGTCCTCCCAGGGAGCTGCCTGGCCGCAGTTTCCTCCAGCTGTGCTGAATCTGTGTTTGGGTGGGGGCGTTCAGCGCTCCCAGCCCGGCAGTCCTGTGCTCGCCTCCATCCTCATCCGTGCGCTTCCTGCTCGGTGCGGTGTGCGCTGCCTGCTGCTGCCGCCGCTGCCTGGCTCTGCTTGGCTCTGTGTGTCCGCCCGGGCCCCGGCTGCTGCAGCCTGTGTGCCCAGCCGGCTGCTGCGTGCCCGGCCGTGCCCTGCAGGGCTGCGCCCGACTGTCCCTTCTGCTCCCAGGGGGCAGGGTGAAGACGTGGAAGCGGCGCTGGTTCATCCTGACTGACAACTGCCTTTACTACTTCGAGTACACAACGGTGAGTGGGCTCCATGCAGGGTGAGCTGAGCTGGGGCAGGGAAGGGGCTGGACTGGGGCTGTCTGCCCCACAGCTAAACCTCTGCTTGGCTGCACCAGGATAAGGAGCCCCGTGGCATCATCCCCCTGGAGAACCTGAGCATCCGTGAGGTGGAGGACTCCAAGAAGCCTGTGAGTGCTGTGGCAGTGTCCTTTGGGGTTTGGGGCAGCTTTGGCTTGGGCAGGAAAAGCTGGGAGGTGTTGCAGCACCCTGAGATGTCCCCAGGAGAGGCAGGGGGCCCCAGAGCGGTCACTACCTTCACTATCAAAGCAGCTGGGTGCAGACCTGGGGGTGCTCACCACAGGGGCTCATGCAGGGCCAGGGGTGACAGTCACGGTGTGTCTGTCCTGCTCTGCCATGCTGGGGTGGCTCTGCTTTTTCCCTCCCGGTCTGGGGTCCCCTTTGGAGACGGGGGCTGCCTCTGAGCAGTCTCTCCCTCCCAGAACTGCTTTGAGCTCTACATTCCTGACAACAAGGACCAGGTGATCAAGGCCTGCAAGACAGAGGCAGATGGGCGTGTGGTGGAGGGGAACCACACCGTGTATCGCATCTCTGCCCCCACGCCTGAGGAGAAGGAGGAGTGGATCAAGTGCATCAAGTGAGTGTGTGGAGGAGCATGTGGTGGCATGGGCAGGGGCACAGCAGGGACCTGCCTGCTGTCCTCAAAGGGGACAGTGCTTCCCAGGGCATCCTGCAAGGATGGGGAAAGAAAACTTCCCCAGGGATGTAAAGGGACCTGCCCAAGGCCAGGCCAGGCAGGTTGCACCCATCACTGCAGCAGTTTGGCCTGACCCAGCCCTTGTTCTCCTGCCAGGGCAGCCATCAGCAGGGACCCCTTCTATGAGATGCTGGCTGCCAGGAAGAAGAAGGTCTCCTCCACCAAGAGGCACTAGCAGCCAGACTGGCCCTGCGAGGCCAGCGTGCCCTGTAGCAGCTCGTGTCCCTCCGTCATGGGGGCACGTGGGGCGGGGGCCACGCTGCAGGCTGGCCCAGGGCCCAGCTTCAGCTTAGCCATTTCTTTACTGTGGGGGGAGGGAAGGGGCATCTCAGTGACTCTGGCCCCCCATCACTGCCTCATCGCCGGACAGCGTCTTCACAGGCTCAAGCGGGAACACAGCACCCTGTGCACCCCTGTGAGCCCTGGCCTCAGCACCACGGGACCCTCCCTGCCTCTGAGCCCCAGGAAGCCTGCAGCCATGTGTCACTGGGTCCCCCAGCACTCGTGTTGAGACGCTTTCGGGCTGTTCTGTCAGGAGAGGAGCAGCTGTTGGTGAGCAGCTGGCGCTTTTGGGGTGCCACAGGTGCTGGGGTGCAGGTGTCAGCCCCAGGGGGGCCCTGCAGAGATACAGCTCCCGGCCCTCGTTGTAGCGGGCCTGAGTCTGTCCTAGGCGTGTCCACGCTGCTGCCTCGGACCCTCCCAGCCACCCCCTGCACCGGAACGGTCCCCACAGCCACAGGAGGGATGAAGGGCAGGCACTGTTGACGAGCAGTATCCTCACCTGGCTGTGGGAGTTGTGGCTTGGATGTGGCATTGCCCCAGCACATCCTTGTGTCATGTGCCACATGGTGGGACACACCCAGAGCTGGAGCCTGCCCTCGGGATGGCTGCTGGTGGGGATCTGGCTGGGTGGGCACTGTGGCCCCCACCTCTCTGCCTCACAATCGCCTGTGTCTTGTCCTGTCCCATCCCCACGCACGGTCTGGAGGCGCCTGGATCAGTATTAGTCTATTTATCAGAGGTGTAAATACTCCTGTATAGTTTTCTCCTTGTAGATTATTTTGTATGTGGGTGGTTCAGTGCAGAGGCCTCACAGGAGTGGGGCGGGGGGGCAGGATTTTTTATTCTAAATTTTTTTTTTTTTTTTTTTTAATTTGCCATGGCCTTGTAAACTAGTGCTGAAGATCAGCAACAAATAAATACTTGCACCACGCTTCTCTTGGCCTCCTGTGCTCTGTGCAGCCTGGGGTGGGCAGGAGTCCCCTGCCACTGTCAGAGTCCCTTGCTGAGGGATGGGGACGGTGTGGGGTGTGGAGGGGGAAGGGCAGCCCTGCGGTTGGGCTGGTGCCGGTGCCGTTGGGCTGTGCCAGGGGCAGTTGGGGCCAGTTGAACTGCTGACAGTTGGGGCGCAGACAGTGCCTGGAGGCTGCTGGAGGGTTGAGGAGTGCAGAGAAGTGGCAGAGCCAGGTACGTTTGGGGTGAGCCAGGGCAGCAGTAGGGCTGGGTGGTGATGGGGCCAGTCAGGGATGGGGTAGGCTTGGGGCCACTGGGACCAGGCAGGGATGGGACTGGCAGCTTCCCCTGAGACTGCATGTGCAGAGGGTGAGATGGGCAGTGTCAGGAGGGCAGGGTGTGGGGTCTGCACAGCCCCTGGCTGAGCAGGGTTTTGCCCACTGGACCACCCCAGGTGCTGGCACGATGGCAGGCGCAGAGGATGAGCGGATGGATCTCCTCGAGAGCTTGGCCACGGCCCTGCTGCGTGTGCGGCCGGACAAGTGGGGCAAGTTTGTGGCCAGTGAGGAGACTTCGGTCATGCTGGACAAGTTCTTCAAGCAGCCAGAAATGCTGGAGCTGGTGCTGGGGCTGAACCCTGCTGGGCAGCCCATGCCCACTACCTGCTTCCCACCTGCCCAAAAGGGCAAGGCACTCTACTGTGTGAAGAAGACGGGGCAGAACATCACCGGGGAGAACTGTCGGAGTGCTCTGCTGGTGGGAGACATTGGCCCCTCGCCCGTGGAGCAGCTCATCACTGTGCTGCTGGAAGTGAGTTGCCCATGCAGGCACAGGCTTGGGGTGAGCAGGGTGAGCTGAGCTCCCTGGGCACGCTGCTGCCCTGGCACCCTCCCCTGGCACCCTCACTGTGGGCTGCTCTAGCCAAATTTCCAGGTGGGCTCCAAAATAAACTAAAATTCACTAAATAAAACTTGTCCCAGGCCCTTGCCCTGACCTTGCACTAGCTCCCATCCTATGGAGCCCCACAAGGACAAGAGCTGTGTGTAGGTCACCAATCCTGTTTTCTTCTGTCCCCTACTGGATCACTTCCTCCCAGTTTTGCAATTTCACAAGCTCATAATAATGCCCACTTATCTCTATCCTGCAGCTGGGAAATGTCTACATGGATTTCTCTTAAACTTCCCATAAATATTCCTGCTGCCAGTGCAGAGCACCCAAATGCTGCATCATAGCCTCTACTATTCCCCCTCACTGCTGGGGGCTTTTGCTCATGTGCCAGCCCCTGACTCTGCTAGATGCATTTACTGTGCCCCTTCCAGCACTTCCCAGGCCATGAGAGCTGGAAATTCAGAGCAAAGGGCCTTTTGGTCACACTGATGAGCTAAATATCAGCAAAGCCCATCTGTGGCAAACAGAGCTGTGACTTCTGAGACTGTGTTTCAATGGCAGCGAGAGGGAGCACTGGGATCACCACTGCCCTGTGCACAGGAGGTCGTGACCAAGTGCCTGACCTAGCCCTGTCTCGCAGGTTGTGTCCCCTCTGCTCCTGAGCCACGATGAGGGGTCGGGCTGGCCCAAGACTGTGGTGGAGGACATCATGCAACAGACTCACAAGCTGCAGAACAAGATGTTCCTGATGAGTGGGAAGATACAGGGAAAGCCGCTGCTCCCACTGCCCGAGCATCTGGTCAGCTGGGAAGACTCAGGCGCAGCCCTGGACTGGTGGGTGCTGCTGGCACCACCTGGTGCCAGAAAAGCCTGGCAGGGGCCGAGGGTAGCATAAATCTCTCAGGGAGGGACGGGAGCTGGGACACTGGCTCAGTCCCTGCACAGCCCTGGGCACAGCCATCCCCTGCAGCAATGTTTGAGGGGTTCATGCCAGGCATCTGCACCAGCAGAGATGGCCACAAGCAGGCGTGACGGGCTCCCCTAGGGCTCCTGGGGCTCCCCCGGGGCAGTTCAGGGCTCCCAGAAGGCATAACCCATCTGTCTTTCAGCCTGGTGGAGCCCATAGATGGTTCAGCGCTGCACTCCATTGAGACCGTCATCATCGAGTGGTTCCAGCAAGTTGAAGAGATCTTTAGCCAGGACCCAGGGCAGCAACTACTGGAGGGGCTGCACCCCCTCCCCAGGGTCGAGTTTGATTTCTGGCAGACCAGGATGACCAACTTGGAGTGCATCAATGAGCAGGTACTGTCTCAGCCATGGTGGCCACACGTCCTCATGCTGAGCCCCCTGTGCTGAGCCCCCCATGCTGATCCTGACACCTCTTCCCTGCCAGCTGCTCTCACCCCAAGTGACAGTGCTGACCAAGATGCTGGAGAAAGCTGACAGCTGCTACTGGCCATCCTTGCAGAACATGTTCAGGGCCGTCAGTGGTGGTGAGGTCCCATGACATGGTGGTGGCTGCCTCCAGCAAGGTGTCTTCACCCCAACACAGACTTTCTCCATCTCCTAGGTCTGGAGGAAGCCAATGATGTCAGCCTCCACCTGCAGCCTCTGCAGATGCTGCTGGAGGAGATGGAACAAGCAGATTACTCCCAGGTAAGTGACACATGGCAAAATAACCAGGCACAGCTTGGTGGCCTCATCTGGGCAGCAGCAGAGCCCCAGAGGCTCCAGGGGGGACATCCCCTGCCTCTGCCTCGGCCCCGCACTGACGAGGCTCCGCTCCCACAGCTGCGGCCCTTCGTGCCCAAGGTGCTCTGCACTGTCTGCCTGCTCCGGGTACACTGCGTGCACTACCACTCGCCTGCCCACATAGCCCGTATCCTGCAGGAGATCTGCAACTTCTTCATCAGCCTGGTACGGCCCCAGGGCCAGCACTGACCCACCCCTGACATCTCCAGATGTGGAGAGTCCAGTCGTGGTGACGCAGAGACAGCCTAGGGCTGGGGAGAGTCGGGGGGCAGGCACAGGCTGCAGGCAACCACCAGCAAGTCTGTGGGGGTGAAGGGGGCAGGAGCAGCCTCCACGTTCTCCTGACAATGGCCCCTGCCTGTGTCTGTCCCAGAGCTATAAATTCCTGAACCCGGAGGACATGCTGAAAGGGCTGCAAGGAGAACCCCAGGAGACCCTGGAGGCACTCAAACTAACCATAGCCAACACAGAGAAGTTCTTCCAGTCCTACAACACTTACTGCTCTGAACTAATGCCCACATTGTTCCCGGTGTGTGCAGGGATGGTGCAGGAACATCTGACCCCTGCACACCAGCACCAGACTGACAGCCTCTCTCCCCTCCCAGGAGCAGCCACAGCTCTGGGAGTTTCCTCCCCCACAGATCTTTGGGAGGATGGACGCCTTCTTGCAGAGGCTCAAGACCATCAAGGTGACAGCACAGCATTTCAGGGCACAGTGCCAGCCTCAGTCAGGCCTTCCCTGCCCTGGGCATCCTGCGGTGGGAGAGGCACAGGGTGGGCACAGCCTGGGGTGGGCTGGGGCTGCTGGCACAATGGGACATCACTGGGAGTTCAGTGTCACCATTCCCAGCTGTTTCCCCCCAGCCCTGAGCCCCCAAGGCAGGATGGGCACACCCTAGGCAGGCTGGAGAGCAGTCCTGTGGGGATGCTCCTCAGGACTGCTGAGCTGGCAGCACGCAGCCCTGCACTGGTGCTGCAGCTCCTGCACCTGCAGCCTGGGACAGGGGGAACCAGGTAAAAGTGGGTTTATGCTTGCCAGGAGCTGTTCCAGGCAGCCATCGACTTTCTGAGGCTGGAGAAGACGGTGCTGGGAGGGGTGCGAGGAAACTTCCTTGTGACCTGGGTGCTGCGGATCTCTGAGGAGGTCTGTGAAGCCACCAAAGCTTTTGCTGAATGCAAATATGATCCCTTGGATCCCGATGAGGAGGTGAGCAGATGCTGGAGAGGAAATGTGATGGATGCTGGAATGGAGGTGTTATCATTGGCCAAGTGAAAAGACAAGAATCCCCTGTGAGAACATGCTGCAGAGGGACACATGGGACTGTCCCACAGCAGCACAGGGCTGGCTCTGCAGGAGGTCATGGGGCTCTGAACCCTCTGGGTACAGCAAGTCCTTCCTGAAGGATTTGGGAAGGAGGCACAGCAGCTGTGCCACTTGAAACCATTTTGCTTTCAATGGCAGCAATGGGACAAAGACTTTGAAGAGTTCCAGAAGAAGGTTGAGGATGCAAACAAGCAGCTGGCTGCCATCTTCTGCCAGGGCTTTGATGACTGTAACCGCCTGACAGCTGCTGTGAAGGTACCTGTGCCCCAGCTCAGCAGCCTGGCATACAGCTCCCACAGGAGCCGGGGGTCTCGCCCATCCTGGACTGCTCCAGGGTGCAGGAACCAGTGCCTGCCTCTCTCTCCTGCAGCTGGTGCACATGTTTGCCTCCGTGCTGGAGCGACCTTTGATCAAGGCTGAGGCTTCCCCCTGCTACTTGGCCCTGCTGGGAATGTTCGAGGCCGAAGTGGAGAGCGTGAAGACACTGTATGACACCCGGTTCCTGTCCCCACCGCCCCCCAGGGGGGGCCCAGCCATCCACAAGAACATGCCACCGGTGGCCGGGCAGCTGAAGTGGTCTCTGGAGCTGCAGCAGCGGCTGGAGGGGCCACACAAGGACTTGTTGGCCATCAACCACCCGTAGGTGCAGGTCCCCCGTCATCCCCCGGGGACACAGGGCAGCAGTGGGAGGATCCAGCCTGGATGGGTCCCCTCCCAAGTCCTGCTGCAGCTGCTTTATTGTGGCTCTGACAGTGCCATGGTGGGTGCTGAGGCTGAGCTGGTGTTCGGGAAGTACGAGGAAATGATGGGGATGCTGCAACGCCACAGCAAGAGCATCTACGAGGAATGGGCGAGTGGACCCGGCCAGGACTGCCACTTCAGCCTGGAGCAGCCCCTGCTCCAGAGGGACCCTGAGTCTCGCCTCCTCAGCGTCAACTTCAGCAGAAAGGTGGGTGCTGGCACGGGCAATGCCAGCCACCCCTCACTGGGTGACCCCAAGCTCTCGGGGCTGCTAACGAG